TGCTGGGGCTCCCAAGGCCCTCCTGCATTTTCTAAAACCAGAAAGCGCTTCTGAGCTGCCTCATAAACAACATTTTCTGGGTTTTTTCTGGTGCCTAACACCTCAGTCCCAATCAATTCAAACACTCTCCAGGTGTCAGTCCCTGACCCAAGCATCTGTCATCATAAAAGGCATCAAATCTGACCAACCGTCCACCATAAAAACCCCGCAAAGATAGTTGAAAAAGAAAAAGGAGGCGAGAGAGTGTTTCTTCTTTCCCTAGTAAAAAGAGCTCATAAAACGATTAAAAAAAAAAAAAAGCCAGCCCAGGCGGGGGCTTTGTTACCTTTGAGCCTCTCGCCTCCTCTCGCCTGAACTCCGCGGATCCCATTCATGACGAACGGCTTCTTCCAAACTGAGAGAAAAAAGTTTTCAGCTTTATGGTTCCAAATTTTTTCCCCCTTGCAGATCCGGGAGTGGCGGCTAACACTTTTTTCCCCCAACAGCCGGTCTGCGGAGATTTGCTGTTGAATAATAACAAAGGAGAGAGGATACGTATTTAAAGAAGTGATTAATGGTTTTCTGTATAATTCTCACATTTTTCTTAGCTCTTGTCTACACAGAATGGCTGTGAACTTTAAGCTCCATAGAAATCTTCTTTATTCTATTCATACCTTCCTAAGAGCAGCTTTGATTTGGTTCTATAGAGACATGGGGGGGCATATGCTTTTTAAGAACTATTTTCCCCTCTAGAAGGGAAGGGCCGCCGCACCCCTTGGCAGCTAAACATCACACCGCGATTCCACCGAAAACAAAGCTCGCCACTCTCAACCTCCAGGTCCGGGCGATTTGCTACGAGTCTCCCCGCAGCATTGAAACGAGCCGTTCAAACGCCCCTTCCTGCGCGGTGGACCTCGGCCCAGTCTCTCCCGGGCCCTACCCAGCCTCAGACGCCTGAAAGCTGCACACCGGAAGAATGCAAAAGAAATAACAGTAAAACGCGCTGGTGGAATTGGTTATTTTTATTTTCTGAAGGGAGATGGGACCGAAAAATGACTTTTAAATGCATCTGCTCTCCCAAGCCCTGAGCTTGTGGGAGGCGAGATGGCTGTACCCGGAGCCGCCACCGGACCACAGCCCCGAGGCCGGAGCCCCCAGACCTTAGAACTTCTCTTGGGCTCAGCCCCAAAGCGGCCCAAGCCTGACAGCGCTTCTGAGGGTCACCTGCACCCCTCCCTTCCCCCACTCCATTCTAGGGGTGACTGGGACCTCAGAGACAGAAAGCTATTTGGTCCCCAGTCATACTTTCGATACTTTCTATGAGAAAGAAAATGAAAATTAATACAGGAGCAGGGCTTCACAAAAGAGGCCATTTGTCTTCTTGATTATCTATTTGCTTGTCAGAGTTTGAGCTATGGCACCGGCTAGCTCCTTTGTAATATAAAAATACTCTGAAAACCTGAAAACACCCAGAAACATCTGTGCAAAAAATTAGACTCATTAAAGCCTTAAACACCTCAGAGGAAAACGATACCTTCTTACGCATGGAGGAAAGAGGCCAGCCGCTCAGAATCCTCTCTCGGAACTTTAATAAGCAAAGAGCCGTCTGTCTAGAAGGAGACAGCTTTAACCGCATTTTATTTGCTTATGACAAATAAATCACTATTTGAAAGCCTTTGTCATACTTAAGCCTCTTGTGTTCTACAATGAAACATTTTCCCCCCATTAGGGATTGGAGTCAGCCCTCCCAGTCCTTTCAATCCATTTTTGGACTAGAGGGGAAAAATTAAAAGCCCCAAACAAAACACACCCACCCCAAAAGGAAAACAAACCAGCCACCACAATTTGGAGTCCTCTGAGATACAAATTCCCATCGGATCCTTTGAAAAAATTCCTCAACCACATAAATGTGCAGTCGAATGGACTGGGGTGCCTAAAATATACTCTGGGAGGCATTTATCTGCATCTTTACATCAAGGTTTCAACAAAAACACGCCGTGCTGGTCACAAGAAACCAAACATTTATTTCTATTGTCACTCTGTACAGGACACACATTTTCACGCCAACAAAGGGTTCTAGACTCAGGCAGCCCCAGAACTAAGAAGGGTCCTGGTTTGGAATGTCAGAAAGAGCATAGGAGAGAGGACGCACGTGACATAAAATAATTAATAATAATAATAATAATAATCAATGCAACAATGATAAACTATGGGAGAGGTCTCTGTAACCTCATCTCCCAAGTGGGAAGGGCATTTTATTTCCTAGTTTCACATTCACTTCAGTCTAGAACAGGCCTCCACTGTACAACTCCAGATTGGCCAGAGGGTTGTGCCCAGCTCCCAGAACGCAACTGGCCCCTCACCCCTGCAGACACGGCTTGACCTTCCAGAGGAAGGCCCTCCTGGTCTCTGGGTCCTCTCTTTCTCTCGGACTCAATTTCCCTGCCCTGCTTCTGCGTAGCCGAGGCACGCATCCCCCCGCCGGCCTCCACTTGTCCCCTTCCTGTGGTCCCTACCCCAGCCCCGCAGTGGAAGGGGGTGAGCCGCCAGCGTCCCCGTGAACGGGCACGGAGGGGGAGAGAGGTTGTGTGCGTGTGTTTGTTACCGTGGCCAAAACACTGCGCTATCTGGCAGTCAGAGGATGCTTTCGCTGGGTTTCAGGAATGGGGGACAAAGAAAAAATATCCAGACTGTCTTCCAGCAGCGGCAGCAGCAGAGGCGGCGGCGGCGGCCGAGCCGGGCCTCATTTGTTAGCGGGGTGTCGAGGTAATGGTCGCCACCGAGGCCCGTCCTCTCCTCGGCAGAGTAAACAAGACAGATGGGCCTGGGCCTGGCGTGATTAAAGATGAAACGTGGATCCATCTTCACCAAAGCTGAAAATGAGGAGTGCAGCCTCCTCCTATTTCTCTTTCTGTCTTTTTCTTTCTTCCTTCTTCTTTTTTTTAAGGAAGAAAGCAAGAGACTTGAACCTTGCTTCTGGGGGGCCTCGCCTGGCTCCATATTGTCATTTCTATAAATAAAGCTTCCCCTCCCCCCTCCTCTGCATTTATTCGTGTAAATAGACAAAGTGGGGGGAGGGCAGGTAGGCTTTTTCGGACCCAGGCCTCAGGGTCCCCTCCCGCGTCTCCCCCAACCGCCCACCCCCCGCACTCGCAACCCACCCCCGCCCCGAGGTTCGCGGCTCCCACGTGGGGGACACTAGAGCGCGGGGGGGCCTCCGTTGGGCCGGCCAGGGGGCCCTCCGGCTGCGCCTGCGGTGCCACCCGAGCGGATCTTGGTGTTGGGCAACTTGTGGTCTTTTTTCCACTTCATTCGCCGGTTCTGGAACCAAATCTTAATCTGGCGTTCAGAGAGGCAGAGAGCGTGGGCGATCTCCACCCTCCGGCGCCGCGTCAGGTAGCGGTTGTAGTGAAATTCTTTCTCCAGCTCCAAGACCTGCTGGCGAGTGTAGGCGGTCCGAGAGCGCTTGGGCTCCCCGCCGGCGTAATTGGGATTTACTGGACACACACAAAGAGAGGGAGAAAGAGAAAGTTTTATTGCCCCGAAAGGGAGGAGGGAGAGCCCTTTCTTCCAGCTAACACAGTATCTCCCTCCCTCCCTCTCCCGCCACCTCTTCTTCCTCCAGAGGGGGTGGGGATGAAAGAGAAAGCGGGACCCCAGGAAGAGAAAGAGACCTCCAAGTTTTGGAGGATTGTGTGGTCACGACGTTGTTGTTTGGGTGTCGGGGGGAGTGAGGAATCTTCACAAGGTTTTAATCGCTCCTCTCTCCCCGCACGTGGCCTGGGGCCCGGGATGGGAGAATGAGGGGTGAAAGAGGGAGGGGGCTTCATTAAACCTTTCTTCTGTTAGTTCCCACCCTCTCTGCTCAGATTCCAAGCAGTGCCTGCCCCCAGTAAAAACTTTTGCCCATTTCTCAAGCCAAGGAGCCAGACTATAGGAAAGAAAGGAAAAAAAAAATACAGGGAGTTGACTCAACTCTCAGCTTAAATACAGATTACCTCCTCCCCCTTCTCCTCCCCCCCTTACACCCCTCCCCAATTTCCAATTTCACTGAGACTGCATCTCCCTGGCGAAAAAGTCGCTGGTGAGAATGGCAAAGAGGATGGGGAACCGACTTCAAAGGCGCGGGGCCCACCAGGCCATAAAAATTTATGGGGGATGTAATTATGTGGCTCTGAAAACAGGCGACCGTAAATCTCCGGCAATGGCGAGTTTATAGCGGGGACAATTGGCTTCCCCTAGCTCCCCCCCCCCAATGCCTCGAGGTCCCTTTGGTGTAAAGCGCCGGGGGTGGGAGGGGGAAGGGGGTGCCCACGCACTCACCCGTGCTCACGTGAACTTTGCGCATCCAGGGGTAGACGACGGGCTCTTTGCACGCGGAGTGGGACGGGCTGGGGTGCAGGGGGTTCTGAGCGCAGGGAGGCGGCGGGGGGCTGCTGCTGACCGCCTTGCAGCGCTGGCCGGGCTCCGGGAGGAGGGCCCCAGAGGGCGGCGGAGCGGGAGCCCGAGGGGACAGCCCGGGCGGTGGCGGGGGCGGCGGGGGCGGCGGCGGAGGCGGCGGGGGCCCAGGGTCCCGGCAGGCCGCGTAGCGCTGCACGGTGCACGCGGAGCGCCGCGCGAAGCCCGCCTCCGGCTGGAAGCTGCTCTCTCGCCTCTGGCCGCCGGCGTAGTACCCCGGCGAGTGGTCGCTGGGTAGGTAATCGCTCTGTGAATATTCCTCGCACGGAGGGAACTTGGGGTCGACATAGTTTGAGTTGATCAAAAAAGAACTCATAGCCATTAATTTCTGGGAATTGTCCACAAAATATACTAAAATTTATTCCGACCCCTGACTCGTTTTCCTGTTTCCGAAAGCCCTCCTACTTACTGTCAAGTGAACAAAGTTAGGGGCCCACGTGATCCTCGGAGCCAATGGCCGCCCCGCCTGCGATTCCCGGATAAGGAAATCTGCTCACCCGGACCCTACTCCAGCCAAAGAGGTTTATTTCCCCTTCTTCTCTTACCCCCCCTCCCCACCCAACACCAGGATTTACATAGGGCTCCTGCGGGGCGACCGCCTCCTCGCTTCTCCGAACCCGGATTGGGGAGAGGGAGGGAGGAAAATGGAGAGCGAGTGAGCAGGTTGCCACCCGAGGGCCTGTTGGGGCGCTGGGCGGAGCGCAATCCCTGGATCCCCTCAGAAGCTGGGGCTTCGGGTGTGGCCCCTCCTGTTCTGCCTCACCTCCCCCCAGGCCTTCCTTAGGGCCCCAGCCCCTCCTCACGACGTGGCGAGGGGGAGCCCCTTTACCCGGCGTCTGTGCGGGGGAGTTAAGTGAGGGACGGACTAGGGGCTCCGCCTGAGAGGGGAACCCACACGGGGGAGAGGCACTGAACGTGGGCCTTTTCTCTGCAGCCGCACGGGGAGGGGTAGGGAGTGAGAGGGGAGGCATCGGAGCAACCAGGCGGGTGCACGGAGGGACTTGTCAGAGATGAATGGAACCGCGGGCGGATCGATAGGAAATTCATGCACTAATTCGGGGAGACCTCGCCTTCCAAATCGCATTTAGCTGCGCTATTAGTTTGGCTGTGTCAGTCAGTCCGTCTGTTTCCCTCTCCTATCCACTCCTCCCCGTACCCCACGCGGCCCAAGCTGGGAGAAACGACTTGGTTTCCCACACTAAACATGAGCACTAGAGTAAAAAACCTCCAACTTTTGAGAGCACGTTGAATAGAAATTTGCTAATTCCAAAAGCACCGGAGCAACGCTAACCGGGCGTCGAGACGTTGTAATTGCCGCGAATGCGGCCGCCCGCGCAGCGAGCAGAAATCTCACATCCTTGTGATGCTGAGGATAGGAGACGGGTGATCCCCACACAATAACACCCCTTGGTAATCGTGTGTTTCCAGGGCATCTTGTTCTGAACCCAAACGGAAAGGCGACCTCTGCATCCGTTTGAAAAGCAAATTTCCTTTGCCTTCGCACACTGAAGACAAGTCATTTTTAC